AGTGTGAATACAGGGTCCGGGAGAGAGCGGATATAGTAAAATGCGGGGTCCGGGGAGAGCGGATATAGTGAATGCGGGGTCCGGGGAGAGCGGATATAGTGAATGCGGGGTCCGGGGAGACCGGATATAGTGAATGCGGGGTCCGGGGGAGAGCGGATATAGTGAATGCGGGGTCCGGGGAGAGCGGATATAGTGAATGCGGGGTCCGGGGAGAGCGGATACAGTGAATACAGGGTCCGAGGAGAGCGGATATAGTGCATGCCGGGTCCGGGGGAGAGCGGATATAGTGAATGCGGGGTCCGGGGGAGAGCGGATATAGTGAATGCGGGGTCCGGGGAGAGCGGACATAGTGAATGCGGGGTCCGGGGAGAGCGGACATAGTGAATGCGGGGTCCAGGGAGAGCGGATACAGTGAATACAGGGTCCGGGGAGAGCGGATATAGTGCATGCCGGGTCCGGGGGAGAGTGGATATAGTGAATGCGGGGTCCGGGGTTTAGTAACACTCTACATTTAGTTTGGTATCTGTATAAATAGATGACATTAAAGATGCTCATACATGGGAGAATCTGATCTTAATGCAATGAGTGATCAGAGCATCAAACAAATTCTTTTCATCTGGCGTGCTATTCAGTTCCGGAAGATCTCCCAATTACTGAACATTTGTTACCTAGCGCCATGACGTCCTATGAGTACAGAGCTCTGATCAGCAGAGAGAAATAGAATATCAGATAACAATCCTCCCGTCCAATCACTAGCAATGCTGATTCCGGCCTCACACTGTGTGCTGATCCCATTCATGCTCCATACACAAGGAGATGATAGCACAATACGAGTCATGTCAGTGGTATTCTGTGCTCATCCTGTGTATGGAGATATCACCGTCTCTACACATGGAGGACAATATTGGGGGGTCTACTCCATTATAACATTTGTCTTATAAAATTCTATTTCCTGGAGATTTATAAAGTGATGGAATATAAATGATTCCAATAAAGAGAAATGAGTTCCATCCATGTAGAGAATAGTTCCATTCATTCCTGGGGGGGGGGGGGGGGGGGATTCATATCCTTCTGGTAACATTCTTCTCTTCTACAGTTTGTATGATAATCACCTGACAGACAGTTCCTGCCCCCACCTGGCATCTGGAATAAGAAATAACCCGACACTGAGGACACTGAACCTGTCTATGAACAATCTGGAGGGTCCTCATTTCAGGGATCTGATGGCGGCTCTGACAACAAGCCGGATAGAGGAATTACAGTGAGTATAACAGGACTGACTGAGACAATCATATTCTGGGAGAGTTTCCATTGAAATCTTCCTGAGACCTCTATGCCTGGCCTGAACAGAGCAGAGACAATTACTGCAGACATTTTTCCATCAGATAATTGAACTCACCAAACACTTTGCAATCATGAATATTTTTCTTGTATGCAGGACGTTCCGGCAAACTATACAATGTGGAAGAATTCGGTATATATAGTGATATAGAGTAAAATTTCTGCCAGACACAGGGGAGGATACAGAAAAAAAATGAGTGCATTAAAAACAGTGACTATAGACAATACATGAACAAAACTGAGCTGCATGGTCAAGTGGTAAGCTGTGTGTCCCCTTGTGTGTCTGTACCAAGGCCGAACATTCCAGGGGAGGGAAACTTTTGCTCTGGTCTATTTGGGTGATTTCTGTTATCATTAGGATTTAAAAAAGGAGCCAAACAACTCTGTGATAATAAATGGCTCCTCCCTGTCTTTATGGACCTTGCTTTGTGCACTGGTGCACAGTCATGTTGGAACAGGAAGGGGCCATCCCCAAACTCTTCCCACAAAGTTAGGAGCATGAAAATTGTCCAAAATGTTGCCTTAAGAATTCCGTTTACTGGAACTAGGTGGCCAAGCCCAACCCCTGAAAAACAACCCCACACCATAATCCCCCCTCCAACAAACTTTACACTTGGCACAATGCAGTCAGGCAAGTACCGTTATCCTGGCCTTCGCCAAATCCAGACACGTCTATCGGATTGCCAGACAGAGAAGCGTGATTGGTCACTCCAGAGAACACGTCTCCACTGCTCTAGAGTCCAGTGGCGGCGTGCTTTACACCACGGCATCCGACGCTTTGCACTGCACTTGGTGATGGAAGGCTTAGATGCAGCTGCTCGGCCATGGAAACCCATTCCATGAAGCTCTCTGCGCACTGTTGTTGGGCTCATCTGAAGGCCACACCAAGTTTGGAGGTCTTTAGCTATTGACTCTGCAGGCAGTTGGCGACTTCTGCGCACTGTGCGCTTCAGCATGTGCTGACCCCGCCCTGTCATGTGACGTGGACTGCACGAGCAGTCTGGGCAGGTTTAGCAGCAGGAGATTCACCAGTTACAGCTCTGACCGGGGCATGCGGGGATCCTTTCTCAGGCTATTGCAGGCATGTTATCTACAGTTATGTTCAAAATAATAGCAGTCAGACATCACTAACCGGATCAATCACTGTTTTTGGTAGAAATGATATTTCTACATGGCAAATAATTTCCTAGCAGGTGTAGTAGAGTAATAGAAATCCAACAGACCCAAAAGTCATGACATGCATGCTGCTGATTCTGTGTCATTGAATCACTCATTGAAAGGGGCGTGTTCACAATAATAGCCGTGTGGAGTTCTATTAGTGAGGTCATTCATTCTTTGAAAAAGAGGTGGCAATTATTGCCCTTATTTAAGGAAGGAAGGCAGCAAATGTTCTACATGCTGGTTGCAGTGCATTTCTCTCTGAAATTCTGAGGAAAATGGGTCGTTCCAGACATTGTTCAGAAGAACAGCGTACCTTGATTAAAAAGTTGATTGGAGAGGGGAAAACATATAAAGAAGTGCAGAAAATGATCGGCTGCTCAGCTAAAATGATCGCAAATGCTTTAAAATGGCAACCAAAACCTGAAAGACGTGGAAGAAAGCGAAAAACTACCATTCGAATGGATAGAAGAATAGCCAAAATGGCAAGGGCTCAGCCAACAATCAGATCAAGGAAGATCAAAGAAGGTCTAAAGCAGGGACGGACTGACAACTCATGGGGCCCCTGGGCAATAAGGGATCATGGGGCCCCTGTGTCCTTGCCCAAACTGAAAAAAGCCTATGAAAAAAAAGGTACCAGGGGCATCTCATGGGGCCCCCTACTGACCCCGGGCCCTCGGGCAGTGCCCGCGTTTCCAAATGGTCAGTCCGCCCCTGGTCTAAAGTTCCCTGTGAGGACTGTTACAATTAGAAGACCCCTATGTGAAGCCAAGCTATCTGCAAGAAGCCCCCGCAAAGTCCCACTGTTGGGAAAAAGACATGTGCTGAAGAGGTTACAATCTGCCAAAGAGCACATTGACTGGCCTAAAGAGAAATGGCGCAACATTTTGTGGACTGATGAAAGTAAGATTGTTCTTTTTGGGTCTAGTGGGCGGAGACAGTTTGTCAGACGACCCCCAAACACTGAATTCAAGCCACAGTACACTGTGAAGACAGTGAAGCATGGTGGTGCAAGCATCATGATATGGGGATGTTTCTCATACTACGGTGTTGGGGCCTATTTATCGCATACCAGGGTTCATGGATCAGTTTGAAGACATCAGAATACTTGAAGAGGTCATGCTGCCTTATTCTGAAGAGGAAATGCCCTTGAAATGGGTGTTCCAACAAGACAACGACCCCAAACACACCAGTAAACGTGCAACATCTTGGTTCCAGACCAACAAAATTGACGTTATGGAGTGGCCAGCCCAATCCCCGGATCTTAATCCAATAGAAAACTTGTGGGGTGACATCAAAAATGCCGTTTCTGAGGCAAAACCAAGAAATGGAGAAGAACTGTGGAATGTGGTCCAATCATCCTGGGCTGGAATACCTGATTACAGGGGCCAGAAGATGGGTGACTCCATGCAACACAGATGTACAGCAGTTTCTCAGAAACAGTGCGACTACAACCAAATATTCATGAAGTCATTCAAAGGAAAGCAAAATCTGCAAACATTTCTCAGTTTATATAGTGAATGTTTGAGTTTGTAAAAAAAGAATACAAACACTGAGATTTTTTTGAACCGTCTAATATTCACTTTTCTTCAATTTTTTTAGAGGAACAACACAAATTTGATCTATTTTTCTTCATGTTTTGATTTGGAATAGAATGTGTCGTGTTCCCAAGAATAATAAAATTAATATAATAAAATTAATATAAAAAACAATAATCATCATCATACATTTCTCTCATTATTACACCTCAGCAAATTAAAGACATGAGATTGATCTGGTGACCATGTCTATCCTCTCTTCTAGGATCAGGAACAATCAGCTGTCAAATGAAGCTAAAAGAAACCTGGAAAGGCTGGAATCCCTCCGACCAGGACTGAAGGTTGTCACACGACGACCCTAGAGGAAGGATCTCTGCTACAGCTGTGAATGGAGTCGGGACATTGCATGGGATGACGAGGAGCATAAGATTCAGAAAAGGGAAGACGCAAGAGGAGAATGAAATATACATTATGAAAAAGTGTCTATGCAGCGCACAAATAATGCTCTAATATACCAGTGTTATAAGTAGATGTACACCATAACCATATATCATTGTGTGTAGTAAACAGATATACTCCAATAAATACCAAATATACATACAAAAAATGTGTGAATCCTTGTGTCATAAGTGACAAATGCATGTGCCCAAACGTGCGTTGAAATGATCCCAAATTAAACATATGTCCATCAAAAAAAATGAGAACATATTAAGTTCCAAATTCATCATAAATCACTCATACATCCATGTGGTGAACTTGCTGTGTTTGAAATTTACCATACACTATTAAACAGTTTTTATAGTGAATTGTGCCTTTAATACTGCCGGGTGTCATGTGATATTCAATTCCAACCGAAGTGCAATAGTGTCCCTCTTCAGTGTCCACACCCCCGACACACTATTGTGCTCACCTTAATGTCTCACCTGTATCCCAGGTCAAACTGCGCTTTTCCCTTTTGACCAGGTAGGTATATAGATGTATATACTATAGGTAGTTATTAAGAGGTTGTTAATTAAGTTATCGTGTCACCCAATGTTTGGTTTCCATTCAGTAGCCAAAAAAGGCATACAAAAAGGGGGATTTGTGAAAAGAGATTCACAGAAAAGCGGCTACATTATGAACAGACCGTGACACTCAGAAAATAATTTTCCAAAAATTATGCTTTATTACACAGATATAAATATGACATATGGGCATTCGCCCTGGTTTACCATCACCTCAGTATGAGACAATAACACACAGACCTAAAACCATATAAAATGACATCAAGACCGGTCTAAATGCATGTGCAACAGAAAAAATGACTGCAAGAGTCTAATATCTCTGTAGTACATACACATAGGTAAACACTTCCCAAAAGAGGTGTATCCAAAAATTATACCATGGGTATACCATAATATTGAATTATATTACTTATAACAATATCATAATGGTGAATCCCGAACAGGGAATCCAAAAATTATACTATGGATATACGTATATCACATGTATGCAATGCAGTAAGTACAATAAGCGTGAAGAGGAAAGCAATAAGCCTCAGGCCTGTTTGGAAAAAGACA